GGAGGAATTTCCAATTCCTTGCTTGAAGATGAAACCCTAGCTTCTCCTCTTCTTTGGTTTGTCACTTTCTCACTCTAGAAATCTGAAGAAGAAGAAGTAGAAGAAGAAGAAGAAAAAGAAGTTTCTCACACTAGGTCTCTCCCTCTTATCTTTTGGCTCAACCTCCTTTATACACCCAGATCGAGCTCAGTTCACGGTCTTAGTTCACGGCTGTGAACTGCAAGCCCAGACCGCGAACCAACAATGAAACGTGCCGCATCACCTATCTCAGATCACGGGCAATGGCCTGAGTTCACAGTCTTACGACCGTGAACTGACTCGTGCCAGTAAAAACCCTTTGTGCTGTGGATGCCTGGTCGTTCGCGGGGATCGCCTCTAGTTCACAGTCTTAGTGACCGTGAACTCACAGCTCAAACAGTGAGCTACTGTTGTTTCCACCGTTTTACTTGATCTTTCACCCTTTCGTCCAAATTTCGAATTCGGGGGTTGGTTCCACCTGCCAAAGTCTGAAAAACACCAAAACAAGGCACAACTAGACGTAAAACCAAACCTTCTAGAGTAAAAATGCTTCAAACGACTAAGCAAACTGGGGGTAAAAAGTGTATAAATGAGCCCGAATCACTCTCCCGCACTTGGACGTTTGCTTGTCCCCAAGCAAACCATTTTCAACCTAGGTGATATCTCAACCTAATAAGATAATTTGGGGACAAATCAAAAGGGACAAAGTGGTAAATCCCAATAACTATTTGGGCATCAACACATGAACCGCCTCAACAATACCGACATCCACCACAAACGATATTCGATTGCATAAAAAATGGGCAAATGAAGAGTTCTCACCTTGTTCACAAATCAATGCAAGTCTCGACCGGACTACTCACCAACCACAACCAACCATGCATAGAACTCAAGTCCAAGGAACAGACAACGGGGCATCACAGGTCCTCACCGTTGTAAGATAGGAACATGCAAAACAAGAATGAATCACTCACTCTCGACCAGTGGGGTCATGACCTTTTTGGTGGAAAAGATGTGCACACTCATCAACACTCAGCCCTATCGTCTCTCCACCACCACGACAACCTCAAAATGCTAGAGTTCATGGGACAGTTGTCATCACTAGCTTGTCCGGAGGTCTTAGACACGGGTTCAAATGAATGGCAATTGTCTTGGACCTGGGGAAAAGGCTTTTTGGGTGGTGGAAAACATGGCATGAGGTCCTACACCTTCAACCTAAAACCCAAGGTTCTATGGTCTCAACTAAGAACCTTTCATACATACAAAGGCCACTACCATCGGCCAAAAACCACACTTCCCTTCTTCCAAACCACTACCAATCACGAACTACATTCAAGCACACTTCTATGGCCTATCTTGCTATTCACATTTCAAACCTAGAAGTGAAGGAGGCCATCAAACAATTTAGGTGTTTCAATGGCTTGAGTGCCAAGAAACCCTTTTCTAGATCACACACTTCGACTTTGTGGCCACTCTATACTTTTATTTACCCCATTTTATTCTCTCTTTTTCGCTTCTTTTCTTTCTTTTTGCTCTTTTTTTTCCGAGGGGGCTACTAGAGAGCTAAACACATGACACATCTTTCACTTAATGATACAATCCTCGAATTGATCAAATTCCATCCAGGATTGATCGTCAAAGAGGCCAAGTCGATTTCCGAGAAAGAAACAGAAAATTGTCCAAGTCATTTTCCGTGTTCAAGTAGCCGTCGTTGGAGGCACGGTTCTCTCAATTGACTTGATGAAAATTCGAGTTTGATAGCTTGTTTTTAAGATGAGAAATTTATCCACACGAAGGTATGCTTGGTGGATCAAGAGAAATTTCAGAATGTCATTTTTCAGACGTCCGAATTTGCAATCTGGAAAGCTGAAAACTGCCTGAAAAAGGCTAAGGCAGAAAATTGGTCTGTGAAGCCTACTTTGGAGCTCAATTCGAGGAGCGTGGATCTTATTCGAGTCCAAAGGCTTCCACAACATTAAACAAGGTATGTTTGTATACAAAGGGAAGGAATTGGATGAAAGATTGGAGATCTGGAAGGCCTCGAACGAAAAGCACGAAGTTAGTCAGAAAGCTGTTTTTGGACTATTTGTTGGCAGCTTTCTTGTGCGTAAAGAAAGCGAGTTTGTGGCCGAGTTTTGTGTTGTTTTAGAGTTTTTTTTACCTTAATTTTTTCCTAGTTATATTAGGTATGTATTAGGTTTTTATTGTCTTTAAATACCATTCTATTTACGTTGTAAAAAGTTAGATTTTGAGGAATTGAAATGGAACCTTTGGGATTTTGCAAGTTTGCGTACTTGTGTTGAGTTTGGTGGATTCCAAGCTCGTGGAGCTCTTTATTGATATAATAGACACTTCAATCATGGTCGGGCATCTACCCTTACATCAATCGAGCGTTCCCAAGGTTTGGAATCGTCTTTTTGATTCCGTTTTATCAAAGTTCGTATTAAGAACCCTTCGTTCTTTATTCGAGTTCAATCGATCCTTCGATTGAATCGTTAGCTGCGTTACTTTGATAACATACACCTCCTAGGGTCGTATCAAGTGGCATCAGAGCCTTGGCTCAATATAGGGAAGAAGAAGAATTATAATTTTTGTAGAGTAGTCGACATAGAAAAACAAGGAATCGACCCCCTGTTTTGTGCCGCTGTTGTTGCTGTTTTGAATTGTGAATTCCATGGCTATTTCAGTCCAGCAGAAGGCGATGGTGGAGGGAAACACTGAGGCCAAAACACTGCAAATTCGTGGCCAAAAGAAGCATCTAGAAGTCGTCATGAAACACCACGAATCCGATGAACAACGGGATCATCTATTTCATAGCCGCTGTTTAGTCGACGGGGAGTTATTGTGATCAATGGAGGTTCCTGTGCAAACATGATCAGTTTAAACTCCATCCAGAAGATCGGGTTAATAATGCAAAGGAATCCAGAGCTTACCAAATCAGCTGGCTCAACAAACACGACACGATTAATGTCACGAAGCAAGTCGTGCTTCGTTTTCAAATAGGTTGTTACGAAGACGAGGTTAATTGCAACATGGTGCCAATGAGTTGTGTTTGTATGATGCTGGGAAGATCGTGGCAATTTGATCGTGAAGTTGCTCATAACTTTCGAACCAATCAATTCAAATTCCGGCACCACGGTAGGAAGATAGTTCTGAAACCTCTTTCGACGGATGAAGTTTATGACCATTTGAAGCATATTGAGGAGAATCGAAAAGAGGGAAAGAGCGTGCGAGCTCAGTTATGGGTGCAGAAGCGAATGGGGTTTAGTTTGAGCTTTTGAAAGCTCCAGACAGTAGTGGTCGTGCCGGAACAGATAGCCAGTCCCGACCCCTGTTTCACCCTGTGGAAACAGAGCGCCAATCCCGGCAGCGCGTCCGACAACGAAGAAGGAAATATAGTGTGTGAAAATGGATCAGAAGCGTTCGTGGAGGTGGAAGGAAGAGCGGTTGATCGAGAAAAGGAGCTAGAGCAGCCTGACGACGTGTATGTCATCCCAGAGATGAGTCACCGACTGTCGTTCCATGCAAGTGAAACAGAGTGCCCCGAGGGCTCTCGTTGCTGGAACAACCGATGACTAGTCGAAGACGGCCACCGGTGCCGAAACACTAACGGCGACAAAGAGCCTCTCGTATGTAGCGTGTTCGAGTTTGAATCGAAAAAAATTGACGATGAAAAATTGTTCAATGATATCCATGGAACGTGTAGAAGTTATCAATTTGTCCAACGAAGCATCAATCGAAAACGCCCAATTTGGAAATTTATGGCCAAAACAATGAACAAGAGAAGGAAGAGTTGATTGGAGCGATTGGGATGGAATCAAACCAATTAGATGTTGTGGACACATTACTAGAGGTCCAAGAAAGCCGCCCGAGTCATCAATTTGTCGCAGAGAAACCGGAATTAAAGATGCCCAAGTTGGAACTAAGCTCGCTGGTGTTTGGAAATTGGTCACGGATTCTGAAAATTTCAAATTCCCCGATGGTGGGAAACACAGGAAGGTCGCATAGGATTAGATGGAACTGATTCGTGGGATCGAGATAGGTCAATTGGGAGAAACAAATTAGATCGAGGAGCTCCTGACAAGAAAGCCCCAATTTGGAAGAGTTCGTTGGAGTCCTTGCCGCCGGATTCTGGAAAACTGCAAGGCCGTGTTCTAGGTCCGATTTTGCACACTGTTTGCGCGGGAAAGGTGCATTGGAGCCCCACGATTTTGATGAAGCTCAAATCGTGGTAGACAGCGGGAAGAGCACAAGTTGACGAAGCTTTAAAATTTGCATTGTCGTGTTCAGGTTACCCATTTCAGGACCCGATTTGGGAAGCATTCGTTGAGGATTTTTCTTGCAGGTTTAGACAAGCTTTGATGGAAAACCTTTTTAAAGAGGGGGAAACTGATACAATCCTATAATAGATTAAATTCCATCCAGGATAGATCGTCAAAGAGGCCAAGTCGAATTTCGAGAAAGTAACATAAAATTGTCCAAGTCATTTTCCGTGTTTAAGTACCCGACTTTGGAGGCATGATTCTCTCAATTGGCTCGATGAAAATTCGTGTTTTATAGCTTGTTTTGAGGATAAGAACTTTATCTACACGATGATATGCTTGGTGGCTCGAGAGAAAGTTTAGAATGTCATTTTTGCATACGTCCAAATTTGCCATCTGGAAAGCTGAAAACTGTCAGAAAACTGGTTTGTGAAGCCTACTTTGGAGCTCAATTCGAGGAGCATGGGTCTGATTCTAGTCCAAAGGCTTCCACAATATGAAACTAGATATTTTTTTATACAAAGGGAAGGAATTGGATGAAAGATTGGAGATCTGAAAGGACTGGAACGAAAGGCACAAAGTTAATCTGAAAGCTGTTTTTGGACTGTTTGCTGGTAGTTTCTTGTGCGTAAAGAAAGGGAGTTTGTGGCCGAGTTTTGTGCTTTTTTAGATTTTTTATTTTACCTTAATTGATTCCTAGTTCTATTAGGTTTGTATTAGATTTTTATTGTCTATCTATTTACGTTGTATAAAGTTAGATTTTGAGGAATTGAAATTGAACCTTTTGGTTTTTGCAAGTTTGCGTACTTGTGTAGAGTTTGGTGGATTCCAACCTCGTGGAGCTCTGTATCGATTGAATAGACACTCAATTGTGGTCGGACATCTACCCTTATATCAATCGAGCGTTCTCCATATATGGAATCGTCCTTTTGGTTCCATTTTATCCAAGTTCGTATTAAGCACGCTCCGTTCTTGATTCGAGTTCAATCGATCCTTCGATTGAATCGTTAGCTGAGTTACTTTGATAACATACACCCCTAGGATCGTATCACTTAACGAACAATTCTTTCCATTTAAGAACTTTTCTCCAACACTACCTTCTTATTTCTAGAAATAACCGTGCAAGATGCCATGCAAGATCATAGAAAGAATTCTCTTGCTCCTCCACCCTCGTGACTTGGTCTTCAAAGTTGCTCTCGGGAAGGAGAAAGTGATGAGAGTAGTCAATGCAACCTTCTTGTTTATCCTCGCCACGGGAGCTCTCAAGGGTAAGTTCGTCTTGCTCCACACGGTTTTCATTGATCGTTCCTTCAACCTCCTCTTTCTCCTCCAATGATGAGAGGCGATAGCTTGCACAAGCTCGTGCCACCTTCTCTTCAAGTGTCAAATCGAGTGGAGGAAGGGGTTGGAAATCCGTGTTGGAGCTTGTTCTTTCAAATTTCTCCATGGAAAGCTCCAACTTAGACTTCACTTCAGGTTGGGAGAGATCCAAGTTTGAGCACCCTTGATCTATGCCTCGAGCAAACCGCTCCACCATGAGCTCCAATTGACTCTTCTACTCCAGTTGTCAAATGGCACATGGTCTTGAGGTACACCCCATGAAAACTTCAATGGATAACTCCAACTTGGATTTCTTCTTGGGGTGTGGAGGGAAATCTTCTTGGTATGGGGAAGCCTCTGCATATCCCCATTGGTATGGTTCTTCTTGCAAGGAAGGTTGATCATAGAACCTAGCTCCTTGGCTTCAACCTTCTACACTACTCCATGAAGCTCCAGGGTACCCCCATTCGGGCGGTTGTGGATACCCCCACATGTTGCAGAAGCCATTGGGATCCATGATTAAACCTACAAAAACAAAAATACAAGAACAAAATCAAACAAACACAACCACCCTTTAAGACCAAGAGTGGGTGAACAAAACACAAAACGAAAACGAAACGGCTAAAGTAACGGCCTAACCCTTTTTCAAATAACCTAGAATGGCTCCCCGACAACGGCGCCAAAACCTTGACTATATCTACCTACAACATCCCAATCGACGGCCAAGAATAACCGACGCCGAGTGTAGCATAGGGCTAGCAAGAAATAATCATTTATCGTACCACGGGAATCTAGGCTTACCCTACTTGATGTTTAGGGTTCATTATCTAGCCAACCTAGGATGGTGATTAGACGAATTAAACTAACTAACCTAGCTAACCACTAATCTAGCTATTTACAAGGTTGCTTGCCTATTTCCGACCTTTGGATCGATGTTGAGTATCCTCCTAGTTCAATCGACCCACTATCCTACCGTGTAACGTCTCGTTACTTTTAACCAAATCGAAATAACCATGACTCCGGAGCCGATTTAAAAGTTTACTCAAAATGTCATTAAAACGAATACAACGGAATCCTTTTCAAATGAAATACCCTAAACACGTGGGCGACCTCAAATACATAGTCAATAAAGCTTAACCTTTGAACCTCCAGTTATACTCATAATCATGAACATAACTAACTAAACAAACTCTAAAACCCCTTGTTGAGATCCCCTCGATCTCGTCCACTCCGGTGCTGCTTCTTGTCCCAATTCCGCCCGCTCCTTCCCAAGTCGAATGCGCTATTAAGCGATGTATCTAATTTCTCCCGCTGCTTGCTTTGATGGGGAAACGGGTCGAGCGAGAGAGAGAGAGAGGCTAGGGAATTCTTTTGCTGAGGCTCGGGGGAAATTGGGGAAAAGGGTTTTGACGACAAGGTTGCTATGGGGAGACGGGAAGTTTGAGGGCCGTTTGGCCCTCTTGGCCGTGTTATTATAATTTTTTTTAATAATAATAATAGTTATTATTATTTTTATTCCTAATTCACGATTGCAATCTTTTGTACGTAACCGTTAATCCAACCATTCACGTATTTTAGTCGAACCTAAACCCAAAGGTCGGGGTGTTACAGTGCTTCGGGCCTGATTGTAAATGTTTTACCCCCGTTTTCCTTAATCGTTTGTGGCAATTTCTCTCTTAAAAGGGTGGTTTTACGCTAGGTTTCTCGTGTTTTAGTGTGTTTTAGGATTTGACATGTGAAACCAGCCCCAGAGTCAAAAGTTAGACGAAAAGGAGCAAAAACCGGGAGAAGAGGTGAAAAACGGCGAGTTCACGGATTTTCTTGAATGTCCACGGTCTTGTATGACCGTGAAGAAGAGTCATTGGCCGTGAACTTTGGGGTTTCTAGGGCCAAAATGCAAGTTACTGGTGCTAATTGAGTTCTCGGTCGCTAAGACCGTGAACAGGAGCTGTTGGCCGTGAACCCGTGGAGGCTAGGGTTTTGCCCCAAGGTGGGATTTGGGAAGATTCTCCCCAAGAGAAGTTCGGCACAAGGGTCTAAAAGATTGGAAGCCTCCCTCAAGATCGTTTCTACCTCTTCTCCTTGTGTTTCTCCCATTTCTAGCATGGAGTAGATTTTTTCACTTAGGTGTTGTGAAACCCTAACTAGCTACCATGTAGTTTCTTTTATGTGAATTGAATGATTGTCATTGGGTATTTTTTTAATTCAATGATTGAGGTATTATTCATGTTGATTGTGCATGCTTGTGCTTAACAATCTAAGGATTGTGCTTGTTTTGTGCTTAGCATCCTTAGGTTTATGCATGTTGGTGCTTAGCAATCTAATTAGCCACTTTAACCTAGATTAAAGAGGAAAATCCCCCAATAAGATGTGATTTTAGCAGACTGGTAGTTCAACCATTTCTCAGGGACAACTTGCTCAGCTAGCTATTAGCTCGATACACTTATAAAATTCTCCACTCAGACGACTTCGATGTTGTGGTGCTTTACTTAAAACATTTTGTGATCACTGCGGTTTCTCAAGGTCTCCTCTACGATTCCTTAAGCAACATCGTCTAATAATTCACCAGTATCTTGACCTATAATGTTCTCCTTTCCACGATTGTTGATGCACCCCTTTGAACTCCATGATGTAAAGGTCTATGGCGAGTGTTTAACTTGCTCGGTAATACCCTGTCGTCTGATGCTTCTTACCCGTTCACCTCGGTCATTTACTTCGAACGTATTTAGGGCATCTGCTATCTCCATCGTTTTGGTACATAAGCAGGTAATGCCACTTTGAACCCAAAGATTACTGATGGCGGTGTAACCTCCTCGTTCGAGCACAAAACCCTTTTAACGTAACTGCATCTGTGGTTGACCACGTGGGTCATATAGGTCCTTGTACCCTCTCGTTTGAATCTCCCACTTCCTTCCTCGATTCTTCGTCTCTCCCTTTAGCCATCAACGAGATGGTTATCTCTTCGTTACTCCTTGCGTAACGCTGAAACCTCACACTACTGCTTTCACTTCTTGTATGCCTTAGAGGCATGGTTTGCATCTTTCTCTATCTTTCTCTAGTTTGCGATCAACTTCATGACTCTTCTCGCCATGGTATCGACTTCTAGTCACCACATGCTCATTAGGGAATTCGATAACGCTACCACCACTTGCCCATTTATGTTCTTTAAATACCTAATTCCTTCATCTTGATCAATCTGACCATGCGAGCTTTTGTCTTCCCTTGATGTTTCATTGCCTCTTATACGAAGTAATCTTATTGCCCTCCATGACTTCTTAAGGACATCTTGATACCTATGCTAGCTAGGTCTTGATCTCTCCATCCTTGATAACTTCTTTGTCAAATGAGTTTGAACATCATTCTAAGGCCACCTGTTGATTTCTCCAGCTCTGGCCTCAATAGCGCTCATTTGAACTAGGCCAACCAAGCAATAAGTCTGCTTATTTAAAGTCTCTGGCTCTCTTGTCTGAAAAGTATCTCTATCTGCACGGTCCAACTGTTGTTACTTGTATCACTCTGTTTCCCAACTCACCGGCTCACTACAATTGTCCTTACTTTTTTTTTGGGAACTATTTCCCTTAATATAGTCGTCCAGGCCCTTATATGCTTGTCTCGCTTATGTACCTTGACCCATAAGGTTCTCCCTTTGACTATTCGCGATAATCTTGATTCTACTCAAAATTGGCCGAGAAGTTTCAAATTTCTCGGTGAACTTCCTATGTGTCAGTTCATTTATGCTGGCAATCAACCTAATGTCTCCTTGTTGTCTTTCACATTCCTGGTCCGACCCTTCCTAACTATTTTCTTTTATGCATGCATTGCGCAGTCAACGACCACCATTTTTCTGTAGGTGTTCTCCTTGTGTCTTTACTTTTTCTACCAATCTGTTGAGGTTTTGTACCAATCTGTTGAGGTTTTGTACTATCTTTGGTTGTCGAATCCGTTGGGTATTATCTTGTTGTTGTTTTGGTTCAAAGCTTCAAACAATGGCTTGGTCTTGGTAGGCTTAAAAATACTTCATTCATGTCATTTGCCTCGATCGATGCCCGTACATGGCCTTGATCTCATAGGTAGGGTTGGCAGTGGCTTCACTAACTGAATATGATTCCTCCTTAACTAGTTGTTCCCTATGAATGACTGTTATTTATCATTAACTCATTACTCCCTCCTGATAACATCCCACCATGTTGTACTCACCCAAAGTGGAGTACATTGGGTAAGGTAACTTTACGCACTCCTCGGTGTGGGAATGCTTTCCTCCTCATATTCTTTTGTGCATTTTCCTGGATTTAAATTTACTCACCCTCATTCCAATTCCTTGTCTAGGGACTCACATGTCCTTCCGCCATTCATACACTTCTTAAGGTCACTAATGTCTCTTCCCTTCCTCGTTATGGCCTTGAACTAGTTTCCTTAGACTTGACCAATAGACTCCTTAGAAATACCTCAACCTTCTCTTACCTTTCCACTCTTTCTTGGTATGTTACACAAGTCCTCCTTCTCGTGTCCACTAGAATCCCTCCTCGAAGTATCTACTTGCTTTCTCTCACATTTATCAGAACATCCCTCGATCGTTCTACTTTCCTGTCTATCCTCGGTTGGCTTAATGACCTTTCTTAGGAAAGTTTCGAAATTCTAACCCTTAACCTACCTTGCTCAGACGATGCTCCGTGTATAACTTGGATATTTTCACCTCACGTGACTACTGTAACTTGTAGGCTCTCTCGAATCCCTCCTCGTACTTGATTTTAGTTGGCGCCACCTCTAAGCACTAACCTAGCGATTTACAAGGTTGGGAGCTCCCTTGGATTAAATCTGCCTATTTACGACCTTTGGATCGATGTTGAGTATCCTCCTAGGTCGATCGACCCAATATCCTACCGTTAGAAAGATGAACTCCCTCGGGACGGACCCGGAACGGTGAAATGATAGATGGATAGAAGCCCTATTCAACCTAGGCACCCCTATATCGTTGGAGATTGATAGACTGATAATTGCACATGTTTTTACCCCTATTCTTGAGCCATTTGAGATGTTGATTCTCGTGTTTTAAGCCGATTTCACGCGAGGTTGTACGTTTATGTCATATTTAAGGACCCAGCGTTGGAATCGAGGCGAAGGAACGAGATTCGGGTCGACAGGAGCAAGTGAGGTTTGAAGTGTGCTGGAGAGCAAAAATACCCGGCCATGAGCAGATATACCCGACCGAGTATTATCTGGCCATGACCGGGGATTTTTGGCTTTGGGCGTCCGTGATAAACAGAAGGGGGCCCGGGCAGGAGGCAAAAACCCCCGGTCGGGGATTCTTGGGCCAGTCCGGGGATTTCCCCTGAGGCAAAAACGGTGTGTTTCAATTATACCCGGTCGCGACCCAAAATACCCGACCGGGTATCGCGACAGTCAGCCTTTTAAAGGAAAAGAAGGCCAAAAATCGAGGGTTCCGAGTTTTAGAGAGACAGAACGATTCCTAGAGAGAGAAAGCGACGAACAAGAGTTCCGAAGTGCCATAGCTTGATCTTCATCACCATTGGAGCCTGGCTTGAGCTTGGAGAAGTGCCAATTGACAACCAGGAGTAGAAACTCATCCTTCACAGTATGATTTCCGCGTCTGAATTTGCTTTTGCTTCTCTATCCATGGAGTAGTTTTTCCATTCATCTGGGTATGGAGAACCCTAGATTTGTATGTTAGGTCTGATTGTATGAACCCAAGTACAGATTTCATGAGTTGATTATATTCAATTGAGGCTTGAATGATTGAATGACTTGAATCCTGATCAAATTCCTGTTATTTCTGCTTTAGCCTAGAATGAGAATATCTGCCTAGGTTAATAGAGCTCCCTTAATTGAAGGTAGTGAATTGGCGACTTTAGTCGAGGAGCCAATTCACTGTTCTGTACCGAATTTGCTTCGGTAGTGGAGGTTTGGTTTGTTAGGGCCTCAATCTGTTTATTCCGGTGGAGGTTAGTCGCCCGCGG